CGAAGATACCCAAGTATGCCAAGTTCATGAAGGTTCTCCTCACCGACAAGAAGAAACTTGGGGATCTCTCGACAGTGCTGCTGAGCGAGGAGTGTTCTGCCATCTTGCAGAACAAGCTGCTCAAAAAGCGCAAAGACCTAGGGAGTTTCACTATCCCTCTTGATATTGGCAGCATGCATGTAGGGAAGTCCTTGGCGGACCTAGGCGCTAGCATAAATGTCATGCCGTACAATTTGTTTAAAAAGCTAGACCTACGTGAACTTAGCCCTACTAGGATGAGCATTCAGTTAGCTGATCGCTCTATTATGCATCCTAGGGGTATCATATAAGATCTGCTTGTTCAAGTAGGCGCATTCACATATCCTGTTGATTTTGTTATTCTGGATATAAATGAGGACGTGGATGTGCCTCTGATCTTGGGTAGACCATTTCTTGCCACCGCCAAGGCACTTATTGATGTGCATAGTGGTAAACTGACCTTGCATGCTGGGAATGAGCAGACTACTTTTTATGTGGCTGAATTTGATCATTGTGATATGCCTGATGTCACACCTATGCATGCTATTTCTCACCAGGTACACGAGCCTGTCGTGTACCCTTCTATGCCTCTCGTTTTGTAGGACTCCCCTCTCGCGCCTTCGCCGCCACTCCCTTCAACCTCACCTCCAAATAAAAAGCTCAAAGAGGAGTGGCGGCCTAAGCAGCAGGTGGCTAAGCCTGCTCAAAAGGAAGGTGGAGACCACTATGAGCTGGTCCCACCTCCTACACCACGACTACCCTGGCCATCCGAGTACTCACTCGCCTGCATCTTGCCGGATGGCCAGGTCGAGCTGACCAATGCTGGTGGTCGCACCCGTCGGGTGCATGGCCGCAATCTGAAGCTGTACCTCAAGAGCGATGTGGATCTGCTCTTGGAGGCACCTGTTCTTGCACACCTCTGAGTATCCGCCATGGGCGTCCAGCTAAAAGATGGTAAAGAAGTGCTTGTGGGGAGGCAACACCACCACGGTTTGCATTTCTTTTTCCCTTTTTCTGTGTTTTTGTGTCGTGTTGAGTCAGCTGCATCTCTGTGTTGAACTTCGGTCGTCTGTTATGCCTCGGTTTGGTGTTTTCGTGCAGGGGAGGTCGAAAATTTGGGAGATTGAGTTTTTTTGGTGGGAAGGGGAAAATACCCGGTCGTGGGCCAAAATACCCGACCGGGTATTTTTGGCTCACGACCAGGACCCCTTCTGCCTTCCGGGACGAAAAAGGGCAAATCCCCGACCTTGACCCAAAAATACCTGACCGGGTATTTTTGGCTCAAGGCCGGGGATTTCCCAGCCTTGGAACGATGCGTTTCAGGATCCTCGACCTTGACCCAAAAATACCCGACTGGGTATTTTTGGCTCAAGGCCGGGGGTTTCCATCACATGAAACGCGACGTTTTCAAAAACCCCCGGTCGTGGACTCAAAATACCCGACCGGGTATTTTTGAGCCCCGACCGGGGATTTTTGCTATTTAAGCAAACCCTTGGTCATTTTCTCTCTCTACCCTCATTTTTTCCAAAATTCTCCCTCTCCTCCTCTCAAAAACCTCTGCCCTCTTTCCTTCCTTGGTCGCCGCCGGCCACACTCAACTGCCGCCGACCGTCGCTGCTGCCGCCGCCGGCCACCCTCCCCTGCCGCCGACCACTTTCCGGCGACTTTCCGGCCATTTTTCGGTGAGCCTTCCGGGTAATTTTTGGTCCCCTTTTCGCGTCCCTCACCCGTTTTTTGCGCCCTAGCTACAGTTCTACTTGAGTTTCCAGGTGTGTTTCTTGTTAACTGCTATTTTTTTCCAGGAAAATCAAACTGTAGATTGTAGGACCGAGAACTGTGTTTGCCTGGTATGATTGAACTAGGATAGGGTGAGGGATGCCTTGAGTATGAATGGTTATTCCTATGGTGTGTGTGCTGCCCGTGGATTGATTTGGTCGGTTTGCTTGATTCTTGCCGTGATTACGGTTGTGTTGCTTGCGATTCAACTGTTTATGCTTAAACTGTTAGCCTAGGTGGTCGTTAAGTGTGGGGGAAGTGATGAACCCATACTGTTGGTCCTGACAAGTTTTGCTTGGCTCCACCTTTGGTTTGTTGATTTTTCAGGAACATGTCACTCGACCATCCATTCATACAGGATTTGTGCCTGCACCCGGACTACGCAGACCAGTTCCACTAGGTCACCCGCGGGAGACTGGAGCGCCACCACCATCTGGAGTGGAGCATATTCGAGCAGCTCCACTGCATACAGGAGCTCTCCACCACCATTAGCCACCGAGATTGGCGGACACTGCTGACGATCGAGGAGCCCACTTACACCGAGCTGGTGTGGGAGTTCTACAACACTTTCAAGTACCGCCCCAAGGCGGCCCGGGACTCCTACGTAGTTACTTTCAGGTTGGGTGGCCACCCACGGGAGCTGACCATTGACGGGTTGGCCTACGCCATGGGGATTGAGTACCACACTTACTCACGCCACGAGGTCGAGGTCCCAAACCCTACAAATTGGAACCAGGACGAGTTCTACCGCCATATAGCCAGGTGCGCCTATGGGTACGACTACTTCGACATTGGCCAGACATCAGTCCGCACCCTCAAGCCGCAGTGGCATATCCTGAATCTGTTGATCACCCGATCCATCGTCCCCAATGTCAACGACTCACACAAGATCTCGAAGCGGGTGCTCTACGCCATGTACTCGATGGGCGACCCGGAGCATATGCTGCACTTGGGTGCTTTCGTGGCTACCACTTTCTCCCGGTGCCACGGGAAACCCAACCTCTCTACTGTGGTCCCCTGATCACCCCTCTGGCGCGCCACTTTGACATCAGCTTCGAGGAACTCATAAATTTTTCTGCACGGGGCGGCTCTGCCCTCCTCAGCCGTGACGTGCTCCACAATGCACTCCTCCTGACCACTGACGGCACCCGCTCCTTGTTGCATGGGCTCTCCATGCCCCCTGAGGAGGATGAGGATCTCAATGAGGAAGAGGAGGACGATGACTACTCCGGTGAGGAGGAGGAGGATGATGATTATGATGGCGGGGCCATGGATGCTTATGACGGAGATCAGAGCGAGGCAAGTCCTCTCTCCACCAGGGGACCTTCAGCCGCGATGGAGATCAGAGTGACGCGAGTCCTCCTCCGGTCCTTCTAGTCCGTCGATGGCTTCTGTCCCGTCGATGGACTTCTTCATGGAGCAGTTCCAGCAGATGGGGTTGCAGTTCCAACAGCTCGGACTTCAGAACCAGCAGCTCATGGACCATCAGGTCCAGTTCTACCAGCAGTATTCGGCTCACCAGGCCGAGTACCAGTCCAGGCTGTCGGTCGTGGACGAGTGCCTCGACCGGATGGAGGCCCAGATGGGAGTCACTGGTGCTCTCATCGAGCGGGAGCGAGATCGTGGCTGCCGGTTGATGGAGTACTCGGAGCACCTGCTCTAGTCTTGTCACGCACCAGAGGAGCACCACTGGACCACCCGGTGGGACCACTCGCCACCGCCGCCACCACCACCACCACCAGAGGGGGTCGACGATCTCATGGATCAGATCGACTTCTCCGGGCTCGAGTAGGCTGTACTCGTGGCCCCGTTGTGTTTGGTTTTTGTTTTTGTCAGAATGCAAACTGTCTTGTGTGTTGGTTTATTTTCTTTTCTTTCTTTTGATTGTGGATGATGTACTATTGGGATGACCATTGGACCTAACGTATTGTGTTTGAGTTCTGTTCCCTTTAGTTGTTCCTTGTCCTGACTGGTCCCATCTCCAGTCCGCTTCACTCAGACTGGTCCCTTTCTAGTCTCATGCAGTCCGTGCACACCGGTAACATCGTTCCCTTTATCCTTCCCTCTTCTCCATTGAGGGCAATGTCGAACTTAAGTGTGTGTGTGTGGGGGGGGGGGGATGTTCCTATTTTGACTGCGTTAGATCTATTTATGTGCTTGGAGCCTAGTCCAAATTTTTAAATTTGAGGGCTCCAAGTACATGTTTCCCTGCAATATGCCTGCTCAGTATGCCTTGAATTGACAGTCTTTATAGTAATGTGCAACCTAGGGAGGTAGTGTAGCACTATGGAGCATGTTGAAGTATAAGATTTAGCCTATCTAGCTCTTTGCTGTGCCAGTTGATTTTGTGAATTAGTGGAGTTAAGACCGTTGAATTCATGTGGTAATGGTGACTCTGTTTGGATTGTGTTATGGACTCGTTTATCGAACAGGGTGCTCATGTGGGAAATGAAAAGCAGTTGGTCCCCCATGTCAAAATCATTAAATCTTAAACATGGGGTAAGTCCAACATGTGTGGCACCGTTCATTTCACAAAATCTGGTTTTTGAAGAGATTTTAGTGATCCTTAGTGGGGTACTCCTACAAGGTGAAGCTAAGCTATCTCTAGTACAAGTAAAACTTCCACCCGTTGAACGGTTTGCCTACTTGAGGATGTGTTTTTAAGGGCACGGATAGAGCTTCCGACCCCCCTTAATTTCATTGAACCTCCACACAAGTTGAGGAAAAGGAGTTAAAAGAAGTACTCTAGCGAGCGCCAGATGTACAGAAATTACTCTTGCTCGACTAATAAGGGTCGATCGTGCAAAAGACTGTAGTTGGAACCCCCGCCAAGTGAATGAAAAAAAGAAAAAAAAAGTAAAATGAAAGTAAAAAAAAGGGTTCCAACGGTGAAATGAAGTGAAAGAACACCCCGGTACAACGAGTCCTTGGTTGTGAATGATATGAGTCCCTTTATCCATTAACTGACTGTCTTACTTCTACTTCTTCTCATGATCCTGGCTTGAGTCTAGCACTCGCATTGAGAGAGATAGGGAACGTCTTAGAAGACTAGCTGACCTCGTAAGCTGCTATATGATGTAGGAAATCCTCTACCGACGATGGGGGTTGTTTGTTGAGCCATTTGAGATGTTGGGGGACGAGCAAATGGTTAAATGTGGGGGAGTTTGATAGACCAATAATTACACATGTTTTTACCCCTATTCTTGAGCCATTTGAGATGTTGATTCTCGTGTTTTAAGCCGATTTCAGGCTAGGTTGTGCGTTTAAGTCATATTTCAGGACTTAGCGTTGGCATCGAGGCGAAGAAACGAGTTTCGGGTCGAAAGAGGCACGTTTGGGTCGAAGTGTGCTGGAGGAGCAAAATACCCGGCCATGAGCAGAAATACCCGGCCGGGTATTATTTCGAGCAGACCGGGGAAAAGGATTTTTGGGCGTCTGAGAAGCAGAGGGGGTGCCGATCGTGACACTAAAATCCCCGGTCGGGGATTCTTGGCCTTGACCGGGGATTTTCCCCTGTCTCCAGACGCTGCGTTTTGAAAATGCCCGGTCGCCACCCAAAATACCCGACCGGGTATTCAGGCCGGGGATCGCGACAGACAACTTCTTAAGGGAAAAGAAGGGCAAAAGAGAGGGGTTCCGAGTTTTAGAGAGAAAGAGCGATACCTAGAGAGAGAAAGTGACGAAACTGATCCTGCAAGTGTCATAGATCGATCTCCATCACCATTGGAGCCCGGCTTGAGCTTGGAGAAGACCTGATTGAGGGCCAGATTTCCGTATCTGAGCTAGATTTCCCATCTCTCTCTATGGAGTAACTTTCTTATTCACCTGGGTATGAAGAACCCTAGATTTGTATGTTTGGTATGATTGTATGAACCCAAGTACAGATTCAGTGATATGATTATGTTCAGTTGAGGTTTGATTTGTTGAATGGCATGAATCCTGATCAAATTCCTGTTGTTTCTTCTTTAACCTAGAAAGAAAATATCTTCCTAGGTTGATAGAGCGCCCTTAATTGAAGGTAGTGAATTGACGACTTTAGTCGAGGAGTCAATTCACTATTCTGTACCGAATTCACTTCGGTAGTGGAGGTTTGGTTCTTTAGGGCCTCAATCTGTCTACTCCGGTGGAGGTTAGTCGCCCGCTGGAGACTCAGATTGAGAGGGTCTGGAGACCTTTAGTCGAGACTGCAGACTATTTAAGAACCTCCCGCAGTATAACTATCATTGAAATTGAACTTGATAAATTATAATCTGGCTTAACTGCAGTCTAGGGAGAACCATATTCGGGTGACCTCTCTCGACTTGAAACAACCTTTTTACTTGCTTGCTTGTTTGCTTGTTTGGACCTTCACTAAAGTTTCACTGCTAAATAATAAGAACTCACGGAGTAGTCATGACATCTAGGACCAGGGTTGACATTAAAACCCAAACCCGATATACTACGCTTTAGGAGGTGGTTACACTTGGCCATTTTCTAGAGTGACGGTAGGAGCGAGTCAACTACACCCATAGTGGTGTGGGGTATGTATGACCACATCCGACGGGATGTTGGGGTATGTATGACTACATCCGAAGGGATGTGGGGTATGTTTCCTGGGAGAGTTATTAGCATGGGAGTAGCCAGGGGCCTATGATTAAAACATGATAAGATGCATATGCATAAGTCAAGGTGGTTGAGTCTTTTACCTATTGGGATGTCGGATGGCTGAGGTCCGATCCTATTGCTTTGGCTTGTTTGCTAGATGTATGATAGTGGTATGCTTTGTTATGAACTCACGATGCTATGATTATCTCACTCACCTATGAGCTGACCCTCTTTTATTCTTTTCCTCTGCTTATGCTATGTGTAAGCAAATCATCAGTAGCAGTAGCAGTAGCAGTAGCAAGTACATAAGTGTGAGCAGAGCGAGGATTTGAAGGCAAAATGAGGTATTGTCTTCAACTATTTTGTGCTTGGACGACTACCTGAGATTTTGGCCAGTGATCCACACCTTTTTGTAAAAATGTTTTGAGAACGTTTTTCATGTGCATAATAGCTCCTGATGTAGTGTGAGATATCCACAGGTGTGGAAGGTTGATGATATGTGTATAGTTGTGTAAGTGTGTAAGTTGTGATGATTATGGCAGGTATAAGTATGGTATGCAGTTGTGGAGTATGAAAACTGTGGCTATGGCTTTGAAAGCCAATGTATATGGTTGTGAGTATATATGTAAGTCTATGAATGCATATATTCATATAAATTATTTTGCAGGTCTAGTTGCAAGAACTGTTAGCCCATTACGCGAGTAATTCATGTTGAAATTTTAATTGGGTAAATTTTGGTAATTAATGTAACACCCGAGATTGTTTCCGTTGCAAATGTATGAACAATATGATTAGGTAATACATACAGGGTAGAATGTTACAAGTAGCCTTGTAAACGCAGACTTATTTTAGAGAATAAAACCTTACAGTTTGCAAGCAGCACGTTGTGTCTTGTGAATTGAGTTTGGAGGATTCCGAACTCGTGCGCTCAATATCGATCAAGAACGCGTTGATCGTGGTCAGGCACACATCTTATTTATTTCGAGTCTTTCCCCAGGGGCTAGGTGTGTAACTGCACGACTAACCCTTCCGTAATCACCAACTTCATCACCATCGTGCTCCGTTTGTGTTTCGTTTCTTGGGTTTGGTATCAAGTCTGCAGCTGTGCAAATCTTGAGCTAAGTTAGCTCTTATCATTAATTGAATCGCATTCACCCCGATATTTTGGTCTTTTGGGTTTGCAATGGTTTGGGAAGGTAGAGCTCCCCTTGGTCTCTCGATGAGGATCCCAGGAAGATTGCCAATTTGCAACTCCAAGTTCTAAAGACTTGCTTGATGACTTTGGAGTCCCGCCTCGATCGAGGTAAATATTGAGGTCGTTACATCCATTAATTGCTCGATCTTCTCAAAATTCTGAGAGCTCGTGCTCACAAAGGTGGTCACTAGATCTTCAAGCTTAGCAAACTTGTCGGGTTGTTGTTGGAACCCTTGACCACCTTGTGTTTGGTATGGTTATTGGAAGTTTGAGTTTTGGAACTGAGGCCTTTGTTGGATGAAAGTAGGTCAAGGTTAATAGTTGCCCGTTGGACATTGGAAGCCGGGGGGTCTTGGATTGGCAGGGGAAGACCAAGCAAAGTTTGGATGATTGCGCCACCCATGGTTGTAGGTGTTGCTATGAGGGTTGTTACCTCTAGCATTGGCATTGAAACTCAATTGCTCCTCGGGGGTACTTGTCTCCTTCATCGCTAGGCGGTCCGCAATTTCATGATTAGTGCTAGCACACCAATCACAAGACATCACCGCTCTCTTTCCTCTTGCTTCTTGTTCTCAAGGATCACCTCAATCAACTTGTCAAGCTTAGCTTTAATTGGAACACTTGCTCTCACACTTCGCACTCCTCTTTCGGTGCTTCTCTTACCACTCCTCGTCTAACCCCAATCGTATACCTTGAGAGCCATGTCTTCAAGCAACTCAGTCACCTAGGTGGAGTCATGTTCATCAACTTCCCTTGGCAAAGAGAGTCGATGAGGATCTTTTCATCTTAAATGAGACCTCCATAGAAGGTCTCTATCCAAAATTTCTCCTCGAATCCATGGTGAGGGCATTGGAGGAAGTAGTCCGACAATCTTTCTCATGCATCCCTCAATGTCTCATCTTCCTCTTGCTCGAAGTGGGTGATCTTCTTCCTCCACTCGGACGTCTCGGAAGGAGGACAATATCAGGTCATAAACTTGTTGAGCAAATCGTCCCAAGAGTTGATGGAGGGAGTCGATCGGTTGTTGAGCCATCAGAGTGCTCCCCCCCCCCCCCCCCCCCCCCCGCGCAAGGGAGTAGGGGAATAGCCTTAGTTTAAATGCCTCCTCGGGACGCCATTAATCTTCAGGTTTCTCGCAAGATTAAGAAACCTTTGAACATGCTCTTATGGTGATTCATTTGCAAGCCCGTGAAACAAGGCATTGTTTTGAATCATCGTGACGAGCGGGCTTGATTTCAAAGTTTTTGCCGGCCATAGGTGGATGTAGGATGGGAGATTGGATATCCACCGCCCATGGGGCCATGTAATAGCCCATAGTCCTTGGTTCTTCCTTGGCTCCCGCTTCCTCATTTTGGTTCTGAAGCGGATTAGAACTTCATTTTTTGTTCTCTGCTATCTCAACTTCAATTTCCACTTCAACTCCTCCAAATCCAGGACCAACTTGATGTCCCCTCTCTTCAATCCTCATTCTTGCTTCCGCTATCTCCCTCTCTCGATCCAAGAGTCGGAGAGTGCGGTAGAGATCCTCGTCTAGTGGTGCTGAAGGTGCCGAATTGCTCCGGGTCATGCACCTCCCTACACACACTTAAAAGAACCACAACACGTCTAGCACAAACAACACTTCACACAATCAAAAATCAAAGTAAAAGCCAGATTAACACCAAACAATCTTTTCAAAATAATGGACCGAAGGTCCTTGGCAACATTGACAAAAACATGACTCCTCCCGAATATCACACTTAAATCCCACCTAAGGCCCAATTATGAACCTTAGATGGGCGCAATATAGGTCAAGTATGTTTAAATATCAACCCGGGCCGGCCCATGTACCCTTGCTTCGATTGTTTGAAACATTATATAGCAGAATGAAGTTTGTGAAAATCTCTGCAATATATGCTTAAAAATGCAAGGCTTGAAAAGTAAAAGGATTGAAACTCTTAGTGAGAAGCTCCACTCAGGAGTTGTTTCCCCCTAACTAACTATCATGAACTGTGGGATCGAATGAATCGGTGTGCGACAAGGCGATTGCGAACCGTTAGGAGGAGCAACAGTGGTTGGAAACCACACTCTCAATTGCTAGGCCAAGGAATGCATTATAGGCTACAATTGTTGCCCTCTTGACCCAAGAAATTGAGGCTTGACTTACCTTCTGCCTCAAACCGGGGTTTGGACGGCTTAATCACAATTAACCTAGGTGTTCAATTCGAGTTAAGAGGTTTGCCTTACATTAAACTAGATAGGAGGCATGGAATGCCCAAGAAAACCTTGCTCAATCCACAATCACCATGAAAAATACCTCAAACCTTAAATTAAATACCACCCACACACAATCATTTAATCCACATAATCAACTATAAGGTAGAAGTTAGGGTTCTACAACACCCAAGTGAAAAGGGAGACTACTCAATGCTACACAAAGGAAGAACACAAAGGAAAAAAAGGGAAAAACCCTCATTGTGATGCCTCAATCCCTCCTTGTGCTTGTAGAGATCCTCGCTTGAAGAGGAACTTCCCAAATCTTAACCTGGAGCACACCCTAGCCTCTTCTCCCTCTTGGTTCGTGGCTTTCTCTCTCTAGGTTTTCAAGAAGAAGAAGGTTTTTCTCACTTTGGGCTCTCCCTTCTTCCTCCTTTCAGCTCTCCTTTTCTACAACGGTCGCGCCCAGTTCACGATCCCAGTTCACGGCCGTGAACATCTTGCCTGGACCGTGAACATAGTCCAAAACACACCACATCAATTATCGAGTTCGCGGTCCATGCTTTAGTTCACGGTGGTAAGACAGTGAACTGACTCGACATCAGTAACCTCTGAAAGCTCTATGGACCCTCTTTAGTTTGCGGTTTGTGGCTCTAGTTCACGGTCCCGATGACCGTGAACTCACGGCTTGGACCGTAAACTGCGACTGCTTCCTCCTCTTTGTCCGATCCTCACGCCTTTTCTTCCAACTTTCGACTCCGGGGTAGGTTCCACCTGTTAGACTCTGAAACACATTGAAGCACAACAAACCTAGCATAAAACCATCCTTTTTGGATCTCAAATGCCACAAACGCCAAAGAGAAACAAGGATAAAAAGTGTACATTTAGGCCCGAATAAAAAATCAAAATCTCCAATGCTATCCAAAACTTGAATTGACTGATCTTTCGGAAATGCTTCTATACTCTAACTCTTAAAGATCAACATCTAGATCTTAATTCTCTAAATCTTATACCCCAAGATCAATTTAATTAGAAACAATAATCGACGGTAATGATTCGTCCAAATATAGGCAAAAAAAATCAATTCACCATCTTAGGGTTTATAGTTTATGATTTGGATAATTAGGACCTAGGGTTCACTCATTAAGGGTTAGGGTATAGTATCATACCCAAAAATCTTGCTAATTCGAGGTCTAGATAGTGTTTCCATACTCAAGGTATGCGGTACTCCGGATTTCACCGGGTACCATATAAGGCACCATTTTAGTTAATGATATAATTGTAATCTTGTTTATCTATTATATTAGTTAAGAGAAAATAATGTAAATAATTATATATTTCGTATCTATGGTAATTCACCTTTTGGTTTTGCGATATCTATGTAAAAAAAAAACATTACTGGTAGATTAAACATAAAAAAAAACTCTTACGTAACTAATTGTAATTGATATCAATGCAGTCAAAATCGCGTTTTAAAACTTAAAAACTTACGGTTTTACGCTTCTAGGACACCAAAACGCTTTCGTTTCCATATAAAATCTTAAGTGTATAAAATCGGGACTAAAATGCGCTTTAAAGCTTAAAAGCTTACGCTTTTACGCTTCCGGTTCACTAAAACGCTTTACGCTTTTACGCTTCTAGTTCACTAAAGGAGTATTATATTCATGAAAATACTTATATTTTAAAGGTAAATCACAAAAACTATGATATATTTGAGATTAAAAGATACATATCAAGTACTTGGGTGCATTCTTAGTTTTAATAGAGTAATCTAATTCACCAGCTATGCCCTTCCCAAATTCACTAGCATAGAGGGGAATGTAGCTTATTGTTAAGATATATGTTTATGAACTTATTGTTAAAATGTTATGAGTTTCTCTACTTTAGACATGAATTACAAGTATTTATTAACTTATCTAAACTATGTCCACTTATATTTTATCGTACTTAACACATTTTTCGTTATATTAAAGTATGCGTAAAAAACTTACGTTTTTACGCTCTGATTCTACGCTTTACGATTTTACCCATTTTCCACTTCTAGGTAGAATCACGCTTTTGACTGCATTGTTCTCAGCTTCAATACAATAATCTAATTCACCAGCTAGGCTCTTCCCAAATTCATTAGCATAGAGGGGACAGTGGCTTATTGTTAAGATTGATGTTTATGAACTTATTATTAAGAGGCTATAAGTTGTTCTACTTTATGCATGAATTGCAGGTATTTAGTAACTTCACTAAATTATGTGCACTCATATTTTATATAGTATATGTCGTACTTAACAGATTTTAGTTATTTTACAGCATGCGTAAAAAACTTGCGTTTTTACGCTTTAATTTTACGCTTTACGATTTTACCATTTTTCCGCTTTTAGGTAGAATCGCGTTTTTGACTGCATTGATTGATATCAAGGATGGATATCAAGGAGGGCCACTACCTTTAATTTATTATTAACGGTTCGAACTCGACTTGAAGATGAGAAGCCTTTTAAATGGGTTGTCCCTAGCTCCGTTCAATTGCTAGTAATGGATTGGCCTGGCCGGGAAGACAGACAGACAGACAGCCATGGATACGGTACTGTTTCTGCGCTCCCCCGACCTTATTGGAACTTGGTTCCCGAACTCTGTACATATTGTGGGTGCTTCACCTTCACAACCTAGCTTAGCTAGCACCCACTTTTTTGCCAAAAATGATGAAACTTGACCCACGCCCTCTAGGGATTCGTCGCCCTTCACCCTATATATATATGGTCTTAGTCTCAGTCTGAGTCTTACAGGTTAATTTCCCATACCAATCCTTGCTTCCTGTGTTCCCGCAAACTTGCACTATTTCTGCTGGGAATGCATGGGTCTCAAATGGATTGGACAGGTCTTAGGTCTAGCTTGCTACCTAGATAGCATTGGAACATATGTCGTAGGGAGAGCCAACTCATAACAGCAACTCATAACAGCAATCTATAATCTCAAGTACTACAGTCTACAAACATACCCATTAAAATGACCAAATTGACATTTGTACGCTTGCTTTAGTTAGCAAAAGGGAAGGGTATGTGCGGTTGTAAACGAATTGGTCCGAACAACTTGAGTTGCAGTGAAAAAATTAATTATGGATCTTATTTTACTCTTTAATGTCCTCCCAAATAAAAGCCAACTCACAGGTTTGAAGTTTGCACAAACAGACCATACATTGCGTTTGAATCAATTGTTATATTAAGTGTCATGGAGATTCGAACACAGAACCATTTAATCAAAACCAACTTTGATATCATGTCCGAAGGAAATCAACAGCCACGTATTGTCACCGGCCGTAGCTAGCTACAACGTCAAGGAATCTCCAACATTTCAACTACAAATGTAGATGAAAGAGATAGCTACGTACCAATCTCCTGTGAAGTATTAGTTTTGGCATCACAGCCATCTCATGCTGATACACTAAGCAAGGTGAAGTCATTTTCATGCTCTCCAACGACGATATCTTCCTAGCTACCTTTTCTCATTTATGTATGGAGCTTACATCAAACTCGAAGTTTCAACTGTCTAGGTGAATACCAAATACAATTAAGAGATAAATCTATCAAATACACAGCCCGTGACAGATGACATCCCTCGTAACCTATACGTACTATTGATATGGAAGATATCCACGTACGACAGTTCATGTCATATACTATGCGAGACGTTTATCAAATAGTCAGTATCAACGTAAGAGGGTTCAGCTCATATTACTATGCGTGGTTAGCTAGTCAAAGTGCTAATGCATGATGCATTTGATCACAAACATATATAGTGTGGAGGGTCGGGGAATGATGATTATGATAATGCATATTCATGATTTTCACCCTTGCGGTTGCCATGTCAAACTCCGTTGTGACGCAAAGGTTTACCCACATTGGAGATCGACCCCTTGCTTCGTCCTTAAGCTTTAACTGTTGCTTTCCTTTAAACTTTGTCAAGCACAATTATAAATTTATAATATCATAAGCCTATGGGAAAGCATTCATGCAGACAGGCTAAGAAGTAAGAACTAAATTCAGCTTCTACCATGTTTAGAGCAAGTGCAAGAAATTGAAGGCCAACAGAAAGGCCCACAGTAAAATGGACCAGTTGGTGCTAGGAGAAAGCCAATTGGATCATTCTTCAGAATTTTGTTTCAGTCTTCCGCTCAAATTAGGCTTTGGGCTCAATACTGGGAGTTTCTGGACTGTACCCGGCCCACCCAACAAATATAAATAAGTATCGCAGTGTGTAGTGTAGTCCACTAAAAGCGAAAGAAGACATATCCAAACTGCTTAACATATACGTACATTTCAACACGAATTCCATTCCCAATTCTTTCTCCTTTTCTTAAACCAAAAAACATCAATACAAATTAGTTATAATTTTATAATTAAATATATTAGTTGTCTTGAAAAAATGAAATAAGAGGTTGAACTTGGCCTAATTGTGACATTGTTAGTTTTCAATAGGGCTGATTATTTGGTTCGGGCTATTTGGGTTTACCCGAAATCAGACCGTATAGCCCGGACCAGACTCGGATAGTAAATAATCCAATTCAATTTTCGGGCTTATATTTGAGGTAAAAAAAATTTGGGACTGGATCGAAAACCGGATAAAAACCGGATAAGAGAGCCCAACACCCAAAATTTAACCAATTCCTCACCCTTTGCGTCCTCATGTCACTCAAATCCCCACAATCTCAATGTAAAATCAAGAGTGAATTGGGACCAGACCGGGTCAAGACCCGACCAGATCCAATCCAATCTTTGGTCCTTATATTCTTGAAAAGACCGGACTGGGACCGGATCAATTCGGGACAATTTAACCGGACTGGACCGTATAGCCACCCCTAGTTTTGAATATGAAAGTCAAAATTTCTAATTTTTACAGTAGCATTAAACAATAAAAAATAAAACTGATGTCACGCTCATCTACAAAATATATAAAGGCAAAACATGAGTTGGAATTGTCTCATTTCAAATTTCGTGGTCTGAGAGTGATTCTAGGAATGTCATTTTTAAATATTATTAAAAATGTTATTACTGGAGTTTGAACCTTCGTCACTTAAATGAAAAAAAGAGCATTATAACCAACTAGGCTACATTGTATTTATTGTTATTTTTTTTTTATTAAACTCTAAGAATATGTTTGGTGATGATGCCTCTATATTTATATTTTATCGTAAGTTACTTATATTTTAAGGAAAGATTAGTTCTGAAATCGAAACTCAAGTAACATTGATTAAAATATTAATATCAAATTATATGTGTAGTTTAGTTTAAACAAAATACAAAAATTTAACCAAAAAACATGGACCTTTTTCACGAGTATAGTCATTTTTTTGTGACAAATCTACACATCACATAATAATAAAATTGAAAAATGAGAGTCTCATTTCAATTTCTGTGTCCTGAGAGTGATTCTAGAAAGCTCTTTTCGTCATAGCGCCCAATTTATCTTTATATTATGTGTTGATTTATCACAAAAAATACTATATTTGTCAAAAATATCCATGTGTTGGTTACATATATGTATTTTGTCTAAACTATACCATACATACAATTTAATATTTAATGTTTGATCAATGTTACTTGAGTTCCGATTTCACTATCAATCATTTTATAAAAGATCTAATAATTTCAGTTAAAATACCACTTCCTACTTGGTTGAAGGAGCTCTTTCTATAAGATATATTCAAATTTTTGAGATTTTCCATTTCGAATTTCAAGAAAAAGAGAGTGAAAGTAGGAAAAATATTTTTGATTTTTTTCATCACAATTATTTATCTACTTCATATAAAAAAGTATCAATATCAAGATTTGAACCATGGTTTGTTCAAACAAAAACAATAATCACAACCAATTACACTAAACAAATTATTTTATCTTCTTAAATTGTATACATACACTAAGCGAAGATTTGAAAAGCATATGACTTTTCTATCACGGTTAGCTAGCCTATTAAATCTACTTAAAAGGAAATTTTAATACGTGATTTATAATTTTTATAACCTGTAAAATGACATGTAATCGTAAAATTGCAACACAAATTTCATTGCTTGAAATATTGCATATCGCATTGCAGTATTGAATATGCAAAAGCGATGTAGAATTATTTAAATTAATATATATTTTTTCAGAACTACTACGAAGCAATAATATTTTGTACAAACTATAGGTGACGGGTTCTCTAAAATTTTAGTCTAGTTAACTGCTAAACATTAAACCTCTTACTAATCTGGCATGAATGGACCCGACAATAATGAGATGATATTAGGTTTAATGTGATGTTCATTTCACCATTTTTGGATGTGTTGATTAATTTATAGGGTATTAACATATAAATGAGTTATAATTAACCTTATTATAAAATTTTTACTATTTATAATAATTAATTTAATCTTAATATTTGTGTTGTTTGAAATATGTATGTATTATTTACATGTACAATTATTATTTGTGACATCAGTGTAGTTGGTTCAAATGTAGTATTTCATTAGGTAGTCAAAATCGAATACTTGGTGCATTTATAACTTTTTTTTATCTTGGTATTGTGAATAGGTAGCACTTAATTATTAGGACGCATATAATTATACCTAGACACATGGTCAAGCTAGCATGACAGAGTTAGAGGCTTAGAGGATACCATGAAGAAAATGTATATGGATCGGCCCTATACAAGCATGAATGCTTCATGTGTCGTATCAAACTTAAACTTCAAGGGCTCGCGCACAAATCCGAGCACCACACAATCTACATTGAAGAACTCATGTTTTATGGAGAAATGCACCATTTGGTAAAAATAAAAATTCTAAAAATAACATATAAATTTTGACTTAATGAGTTGTTTTTCACATCAATTTGTGATGGCTAATATTCAAAAAGGTTTATAGAATACATTCATTGTTTATTTTAAAACTCAAACTTTTTTCAATGTATACAAATAAACACTCATTTATAAAATCATTTTTGATTAACTTCATAGCTGGAAAGTCCTTTTTTACAGCTTGCAGTAATAACAAACAACATCAGCAATAAGTTTAGAAGCAAGTAAAGTGAAAAATAAATTGAGATTTAGTATTTCTTTGCAAATGTGTGTGTGTTTGGGAGGGGAGAGATTTTGGACTTTGCTACGGCGATATGCATATCACTGTAACTTGCAGTTTTTGGCCGACCTTATATAGGATTGGGTCAACCTAATATGCACTTTTAGGTCGACCTTATATAGGATTAGGTCAACCTAATATGACGTTTCAGTTTTGTGAGGTTCAACGACGCGGTTAACCTTTTATAGCAAATGGTCGACCTCTTTGGGAAGCGATGTGGGTAGTTTTTTTGCTCGTAAAAATTACGTTTCAAACCAACAGATTCAGTCATAAATAATAATAACAAGGACTCAATAAATCATAACATAACAACTAAACAAACTAATAAGAAACACAGTAAAACACAAATCATAATTGTTCACACATAACTAAAATCTAAAACCACATAATATCAATCCACAATCGTTTTTAACACTTAACCATAAAAACACACTATCTAAAATCATCGAGTTCCTACTCATGTCCCCTCTCTCCCTCATCCACATTTTTTTTCATTGGTGTTGCTAGCATTATGGTAGTCGGAAGTTACGGTGACATGAATGTATCTTCCACTGAAAGATCGAAACACATTTCGCATCTCATTCACGGTCACCTGCAGTGTGCTCATCTGGGTGGTCATTTGCCCCATGTAGTTGTACATGCCAGTCATCTGGGTGGAAATCTGGCCCATGTAGTCGTACATCCCATCCATGCGCTTCCCAAGAGGTCAACCATTTGCTATAAAAGATCAACCGCGTCGTTGAACCTCACAAAACTGAAACGACATATTAGGTCGACCTAATCCTATATAAGGTCGACTAAAAGTGCATATTAGGTCGACCTAATCCTATATAAGGTCGACCTAAAAGTGCAAGTTATGGTGACATGTAATTCTTAATCCTATATAAGGTTGAAACTCATATATCATTTGTTTGAATAATGCATATTGAATTGGAGTATTGAACATTTGGAAGCGACATATAATTTTTAAATTAGTATTAGTATTGGTTTAACGAGTTCTATTTTTATTACTTTTAGTAATTAGTTTATTCACAAGCTATTAAACTACTTTGCTCTGTCTAGGAATAAACAACCATCTGTTCGCCAGGTTTCTGGTGCTCTGATTCACACTATTAACTATGAATGGAGAAGAAGCATTTCAAACACAAAATTGGAGAAGTAATTGGGATGTTTCTAGGTTTCTCTCGATTCCAGACGGTGGGGAAAAAGAGAAGGGAAAGGGGGAGAGTGTTGAGATACGAAGCTCAGAGAGGGATGGAAGAACAAACGGAAAACAACACTACTAGAGAAATAGTATTTTGTAACGCAAAATTTCGTCACCAAAGACCCAAATTCTCGTCACAAAATGTTTTTGTGAAGATTTTGCGTCTCAGGTGTCATCACGTATACGCTGTTGCAAAAGAATACTGTGACTAAATATTTTAGCTTCGTCACCGAAGATGGAGCCTTATGTGACGCAAAGGTTTTGTTACAAAAAGTTACACTTTATGTGACGATATATATTTGTCACCAAAGACTCACTTTTGGTGATGGATTTATGATTCCACACATAATGTTTTATTTTCATGACGAAGAAAATCGTCACACATCGTCTATCATTTGGTGACGACAGTGATTTCCTTGTCACCTAAAGTAGAGTTCAGCCCACAAAAGTTGTCAGATGTGTGTTAATTGGTGATGGTCAAAATTGTTTTGTAACAAGGAAATCAGTCACAAATATGTTTTCTATATACGAACGATTTTCCTGATAAAATACACACGCCTTCTTTATCTCACAACTAAAAGGGTAAGTTTACATAGATAGTATCTTGTGTTTGCATTTCCAAAATGAGCATGAAGCAATTTTAGTGAAGAGAACACAACATGCTCCATCTCTCTCACCTAACACCAATATAGAGACTTAATTTTAGGGGTTGACACATACAGAATTGTACCCAATATGGTCACAAAAATAAAGCCACATGTCTCCTGAAATTTCCAAATTTGCTTCTCCCACATTGCATGCTAATGCAAAACATGGCCATTGACATCCTCCATAAAGCACTCTCATTGCCCAAAATTAGTAAGGCTACCTACCTCACCTTGGATCTGCAAAATAAGACTAGCATATGGTTAGCATATATAATAAAGATATCATATGTCATACTCCTAAAGTGTAGCTAAGTCTACAAATCTCGTAAGATAGAGATAGAGAAAAGTAACATGACTTATTCTTGAAAAACAGCAAATTCACTAAATCGATTGAAGAAAATTTATCCTAACTACTAGACTTATGTTAAGCTAAATCAATTGTCCTTCTACTTTGTTTAGTCGGTATTCTTGGCCCTCTTCTATTGAGTTTTGATTTATTTTAGGAGATGACATTATATTTGACAGATTTTATTGATTTCTACTTTAAGTCCTAAATCAATATTATCATTTAAAAGAGGGGGAAAATGAGTTAGTGTGAAATAATTGACCTTCTACTTTGCTTAGTGGGTATTCTTGGCTCTCTTCTATTGAGTTTTGATTTATTTTAGTAGATGACATTATATTTGACAGATTTTATTAATTTCAACTTTAAATCCAAAATCAATATTATAATTTGGATTATTTTTTCCTTAATACGATTATATAATTTCTAAGATTTAAGGGGTACTTGATAATGCCAATATTTTTAGTGGTTTTTATTTAAAGTTTGAATTGAAAGATCATACGTACCAGCGATTCGACCATAAAACTTCATACCATAGCCAAAATCGATAAGTGATATTTAGCAATATGAAACGGTGAACCAAAGTTAAATTATGACTTCAGTATAAAATACTCTACTACCAACTTTTTCGATACTATTTTACAATCCTTTAGTTCAAACAATACTTTCACAGGTGGAAACACAAGTTTTAAGACACATTTGAACTATCTATTGCAAAAAAAGCATAAGTTAGTTAGCGATAATGAGAATATACGATCTCATTCAACACAAAAGACACTTTGCAACTTCTATCTTTTTAAAAGAAATGTATGCTACTCATACCCTCGCTCATTTATCAACTTAATGAGTAACATATATTTCATGTAATATGGTTTTCATAAGTTTTTATTTATTGAATTATTTCATGAAAAAAATATTTGCTGCATGAAAATTACTACATTGTTGCTAGACATGTCTGCGATCTGAAAATGATTGGGAAGTCTGTAAAGAACACATTGTCAAACTAACTATTAGCGACAACTTAGTATCATGTCATATATATTTCAAATCAAGCAACTTCAAATTCATTACCAACGGTGTGGTAAAAAAGCTCTATTGGGAAAAACTTAAAAGACATACTAAACTCTATGAGAGAAATTTTCTTTGACCTAAAGGTTGATTATATATGTATTATGAGAAGCAACTCTAATATTCAATTATATGATTTGATTAAGTAATGAACGAAAATTAGTTTTATTTTTTTATTCAATAGTTATATATAATGCTTATACTATATTTTTTCTCTCTCTTTTATTGGAGGTCTAAACACATTATGCATAGATGAATCACTTTCAAAAATGTTATATGCATAACAAAGATAGAAAACAATCATTTCATGCATTTCAAATCATATATTATATCCATTATTTATACCATATTGCTCGACAAAAATCTTCCGGCCAACGGGACGGGTACTATGCTAGTCATAAGGAAAGAGAAAATAAATAAAAATGAGAAACAAATGATGAAAATTGGGGGATAAATCGGTACGGTATCAGTATCCCATTATCAAATACCAAAATCCCGATTATCAAATAGTGTCCTAAACTCAATCCCAATCCCAATTTCAATCCTTAATTATTTGTTCGGTATCAGTATATACCAAATACCAAATTAATTCCCTTCAGAATTACAAATCAAATATACAAATGAAAATATTTCTCCTCTGCCATCCGCTTCACAAACCATTATCAAAATATATAAAAACAAAAAATGGTGCCAATGCTCGTGTAAAACAAATGGAGAATAATCTCAAGTATACCAATAGCAAACTAGAAAAATGAGGTGTCTAAGAAGCATATTAACAAACTAAAACATGAGACGACTAAGAAACTCCTAGACATACATTCAAGTAACAAAATGAAGTTGATATGAGTTATAAAATACCAACTGATAGACCGTTAATTGCACATATTTTTACCCCTATTCTTGAGCCGTTTGAGATGTTGATTCTCGTGTTTTAGGCCGATTTCACGCTAGGTTGTGCTTGTTGGTCATATTTCAGGTCCTAGTACGTGAATGAAGGTTTGTGAACGAGTTCGGGGTCGATTGGACGAAGTTTGGACGTTTGGCGAGAAGCTGAGAAGCCACACGGGCATGCCTAAAAGCCACACGGCCGTGTAAGGGAACCCACGTGGCCGTGTGGAAATTCCAGGGAACTCATACGGGCAGTCTGGAAATCCACACGGCCGTGTGGTTGTGGCCGTGTAGGATGGCTGAAGGCACTTAATCAAAACGCCGCGTTTTTCACAACTCACACGGGCAGCTGGGGAAGCCACACGGCCGTGTGGCGTGCCCGTGTGGTCGGGATTTTCTGGGTTTTAACCCAATTTCGAGCAAAAGGAGAGGGAATGGACTTTTCAGAGCAAAAACAGAGCCCTAGAGAGAGAAAGTGCGAAGAACACATCCTGGAAGTGATTTTGGAGCTGGGTTTCATCAATCGAGCTTGGAGATCATCATAGGAGTGAAGATCATCATCCTAGAGCAGATTCTTCCCCTTGTTATGAGTATGACTACTTTGTATTCTGTTTTCCCCTCTCTCTCTATGGAGTAGAACCCTCTCTCACTTGGGTATGAAGAACCCTAGTTCCATGTGTTAGGGATCATGATTGTAATGACTTGGGATTGCTATACTGTTTGGTTTTAATCGAATGATGCATGATTCATTGAATTAATTGAAGTCTGATCAGCTTTTCTTGATTTCTGCTGCAACTTGAGATAGATAGAATCTGATTAGGTTGTTAAGCTTCAGCATTCGGTAGTAGTGGATTGGTTATACGAGAGTTAGTCATTCTACTGCTTTGTACAGGAATCCGATTCCAGTAGTGGAGTTTTGTGCTTATTGCTTCAGCTTTCTATCCTGGTGAAGACTAGTCGTCTGACGGGTAGTTAGACTGAGAGGGCTTTGTCAGCTTAAGAGATTCCAAGCTACTGTCGGATCTTCCGCAGTTTAATTAACAGTAAATCAACCCAGGGTAATTACAACTGAGACCTAACTAAGGAGCTAGGGGGACTCATTCCCGAGTGACTCTTCCTTTGCTTTAGAAAACCGAACCTATTCCTGCTTTCTTACTACTTAAGTTAAAACCACAATCAATCAACTTAGTTGGCTAGATAAAAGATATTCATGGAGTAGGCAGTAGATTTAGACCCCGGGTTGATAATTAGAGCTTGCCACTTTACTGGATTCCCGGACTGCGATTACACTTGGTCGCAGTTTGGTGTTGTGTCGTAGCGTGTCAAGTTTTTGGCGCCGTTGCCGGGGAACCTCTTGGTTATTGGAGAAACGTGAAAGTTTTTTACTCTAGCTTTTTCTTTCTTGCATTTTCTCTCTTCCACCTGTGTGCCTTCACGGGTTGCTTTTGTCAATTGTGTGCAGGTAGTGCATGACCCGTAGCCACTCGGGAGATCTACTACCATTAGACCAGGAGCTTGAACGGACCTGAAGGAACTTCAAGCGGGCTCTAAGGGCGTGACTGGCTGCGGAGGAGGCGCTAGCACAGCTGCAAATCGCCGACAAAGAAGAGATGGGTGATCCACAGGACCATGATATGGCCCTTCCTGGGGAACAGACCATGGGATACTACTGGACCACCAGAGCCGCGGACATGAGGTCACCCAGTCATCACCATGCTTCGTGGTTCGGTGGTGTTCCGTGGCAAAGAGGGGGAGTGCCCCCTGTCACATCTGAGGCGATTCCACGAGCTCATCGATGGAATCAAGATAAATGGGGTCCCAGCCGATGCCATCCAGCTGAGGTACTTCCCATTTACTCTTGAGGGGCAGGCCAAGGAGTGGCTAGACACTCGACCTCCAGGCTTGATCACCACATTCGCCAACCTGGAGGACAAGTTCCTCACCAGCTACCATCCCCCGTCCAAGACGGCGGACCTGCAGAAGCAAATTACCCACTTTGCTCAGTATGAAGATGAGACCATCCGAGATGCTTGGGAGAGATACACCAGTCTCTTTCTCAAGTGTCCCAACCATGGTTTTACTGATGCCTTCAAGGTTGGCACCTTCTATCATGCCCTCTTCCCGGAAGACAAGCAGCTGATTGACTCGGTCTGTGGAGGGAATATGCTCAACAAAACACCACCACACCTGAATCAACTCTTTGAAGAGATGGCAGAGCAGGGCTATGACTGGGGAACTGCGAGGAGATCAAGACAAGCACCAGGAAGGGGTGTGCATGCTGTAGCCACCCAGTCATCTGATTTGGTGCAGGTGGTATCAAAGCTGGTTTCGGCCATCGATCGCTCTGGGATGATTCGGGTACAGGATAGCCGCAGACGATGCTGTGCCAGTGGTGTGAGAGTTCTCATCACACCGTGGAGGATTGTCAAGCAATGAGGGAGTCTTCCACCCCCCAGGATCAGGTGGACTTCATTGTTAATGCTAGGCGCTTCGACCCCTACTGCAACACTTACAACGAGGGGTGGCGCCAGCATCCCAACTTCTCCTAGGGTGGGGCAAATTCTAGACCACCAGCCCCCAGGGACCACCTGGCTTCCAGGGCCTCCTTACCAGCCCAGAAAAGAGCAATTACACCAGCCACAACAGCCTCTCTACCCGCCCAGACAGGGGCCAGTTCCACCTCCGGCACAGGTGCGGCCATTTCATCAGACAGTGGCAGCACCTGCAGCCCCTGCACAGAGTGACCCGATGGCGGAATTGCGAGATCTGGTGGGTTCTCTGGCCACCTCTAGTGCAAACAAGTTCAATAACATCGATCAGTTCATGGAGAAAGCTTCAGGCAAATTCATGGAGCTAGAAGCTGGTCAGAGAAACACGCAGGCTGTGCTGCTGGATATCCGGACCCAGCTTGGGAGTGTTGCCCAGGCTGTAGCTTAGAGGCCTCCTGGTACTCTACCCGGTCAGACCACCCCTCATCCGCAGAACCCGAATGAGCACTGCAAGGCCATTACCACCAAGAGTGGCAAGGTAACTACTGATCCACCTGTTCGGGCACAAGAGAGAGAGAGAGACCCCTGCTTCAACACTTCCAGCTAATGAAGAGGAAATGGAGAAGGAGGGTGAGGTGACTGCTCCTAAACCGCAACCAGTTGTGAAGGAGTATGTACCCCAGCTTCCCTTTCCTACTCGGTTGCACAAAGACCGACTAGAGACTGAGTTTGACAAGTTCATGGCAATGCTGAA